GTATGATTGCCCTAAATAATTAATGCAAGCTGAGGATAATACACTTGCAGTTGCAAGGTTGGTTTGGACTGTAAAGTCGGTTTGAACCACAAGTTTGGCAATTCAAACTCACCAGTTGCTCCTCATAAACCCTATATGTGGTCGCTATGAGTTGGAACCAAATTCACAGCGCTTAACAACAACAACTAGAAATCAGGGAGTCCTGTGTGGCACTGCAGAATAATGCACTGGACTACTAAATTGGTTTGAACCTCAAGGTCGCCAGTTCAAACTCACCAGCTGTTACTCGGAAACTCTATATAGACTCGCTATGAGTCAGAATTGACTCAATTCAACAGCACTTAACAACTAGAAATTAGAAGAGCGCAGTGGCTCCATACAATAATTGGCTCCACATAATACCTTGAACCACAAGGTCTGCAATTCAAGCCACCAGCCACTCGCGAGACAAAGAAGAGGCTTTCTGCTCCTGTTAAGATTTGAAAGCACTTGAGATCCTATACAGGGATGAGTCAGAACCAACTTGACGGCACTAAACACCAACAACAACTAGAAATTAGGTAGTGGTTACTTTTAGTTGGTGAGAGAGAAATACACAGAATGGGGTAAGAAAGGTGGTTCTGGATACCAGCAATGTTTTGTTTCTTGATCTGAGTGGTGATTATATCTGTGTTTAGTTTGTTAAAATTCAGCAGGTTGTACATATGTGTACTTAAAAAATATCTTCATATAGATTTTTCACTTTCTTTAAAATTAAAAACCTACATAAGCACCCAAGCTTCACCTCAAATCAATAGATTCAGAATCAATGGGAGTGGAGCCTGGGCATCAGTGTTGGTTTTTTTAAAGCTCCCCAAAGTGTAGGTATAAGTGAAAACTACTCTTCAAACAAGTCACAGATTCATTCATTCATTCATTCACTCATTCCACAAATTTTAATGGTCAGTTTCTGTAGGCTTTCTATACTAGATTCAGAGGACATAAAGGTAAATGAGACCGTCTCTAAAGGGGCTTAGTTTAGGCAAGGAATAGGCAATCCCTTGTGATAAATACAAGTAAATATTTACAGATCCAGTGGATAAAGTAATTTGTCAAAGGATTTATTTATTTTTACAAATATCTGAGTACCTATGATTTAGATGAGGAGCCACGGTAGCACAATGAGTGAAGCACTGGCGTCCTAACCAAAGATCAGCAGTTAGAATTTACAAGTTTCTCCCAGGGAAAAAAAACGATGAAGCAGTCTGCTTCCTTAAAGATTTACATTCTTGAAAACCCTATAGAGCAGTTCTACTTTGTACTATAGGGTTACTATGAGACGAATCAATTAGATGGCAGTGGGTATGATATTAGACCATGGAGATACCAAACATAAATATACACAAAATTTCTATCTTCAAGCGTGTTATAACATAAGGATATTAAAAGAAACAAACAAAAATGGTGACATGTAATATATATTAACTATCACATGACTGTGAAAATGGTATAATGGGAAACTGGAGGAGCCAGAGAAGGTATTAGTCAGTGTTGGTGAGCAGATCATAATAAACTCAGCAGCTGTTGTTGTTAAGTCATTGGAGTCCATTCTGATGCATAAAGACCATGTATATGGCTTCCTAGGAGGAGTGGTTGGTGGGTGTGAACCACAGACCTTGTGGTAAGCAATCCAGTGCTTATCGGATAGCACCACACCAGGACTCAACAGTGGGAATAGGAATTAGTATTATAAAGGAGTGCTTCTCAAATGTAAATGAATATACATGTCACTGGTGATCTGATCTAGATCAAAAGCAGATTCTGTTTCTGAAGGGGTAAAGTAGGGCAAGAGATTTAACAAGTTCCCAAGTGCTATTGAAGCTACTAAGGAGCTCTGGTAGTGTAGTGGTTACGAATCGGGCTGTGAACTTTAAGGCCAGCAGTTCGAAACTACCAGCCGCTCTGTGGGAGAAAGATGAGGCTCCCGTAAAGATTTGCAGCCTCGGAAACCCTGTACAGGGTCGCTATGGGTCGGAATCGACTCGACAGCACTTAACAACAACAACATTGATGCTACTGGTCCCAGGGTGACAATTTAAATAGCAAGATTCTTGAGAGAGATGAGTTTAGAGGGAAGAAATGAAAAATGCTGAATTCCACAGCAGAGAGATCAAGATAAACAAACTCAGAAATGTCACCATTAGATTTATCAATGAGTAGACCTGAGTAAAAACAGTTTCAGTGGCATGGCAGGAGAAACGCAGACTGTGCATTAGCAAGAAATGGAAATGAGGCAGTAGAAACAGAAAATAAAACTGGAGTGTTTTTGTTGTTGATGTTTTCTCTTATAGCCTTTTATGATATGAGAGGCTTAAACCTATTCACATGCTAAGGGAAAGGAATCAGTGAAGAGAAGAAAATGAAAACAAAGGAAATAGAATAAAATCATTTCAGAAGGGTAAAGGGATCCCTGTTTTATTAAAGTATTATTGTCAGCAGACTTTCATTCAGCCGCTAACTCATAGTGGCCCATATACAACCAAAAGAAAAGCTGTCCAGTCCTATGCTCTCCCAAAGATATGTTGTGGGTTGTTGTTGTTGTTGTTATGTGCCCTGGAGTAGGTTCCGACTCATAGCGACCCTGCACAGGGTTTCTGAGGCTGTAAATCTTTACTGGAGCAGAAAGCCTCATCTTTCTCCCGCGGAACAAGCTGGTAGTTTCGAACTGCTGACCCTTAGGAGAGCAGCCCGATTCGTAATCACTACACTACCAGAGTGGGCCCTTGTAATCCATAACCTTTTTATTAGCTGATTTCTGGAAACAGATTACCAGGCCTTTCTTCCAGGCCCATCCTAATCTGGAAAGTTTCACTAAAATCTGTTCAATATTATAGCAAAATGCAAGCCTCCAATGACAGATCAGTGAACCCATCTCTCCCACATGGTAGATGAGACTTCTTTCACTGAACCACCAATGCCCCATCAAAGCAGAGAAGGAAATAAGAAATAGCTTGAAAGGAGGATCAAGGATAAAAGAACAAAAGCTGAAAAAGTTTACTCCTTTCGAGTAAAACAAGAAATCAGGCAGTCTGAGAGAGAGCATTTACTATTTGAAGTATATCAAGAATCACTGGAAGATATAAAATAGTGAGATTTGAGTACTTCTGTGTTGTGGTACTGAAGGTAAACACTGGACTGATAACCACAAGGTTGGTGGTTCAAACTCACCAGCCGTTCCTTGGAAAATCTATACAAGGTTGCCATGAGTCGAAACCAACTCCATGGGACTAAGCAGCAATAACTATGTCCTAAAGAGTCCTGGCATTGTAGGATAACTGAAAATTCAAACCTACCAGGTGTTCTTGGAAAATCCTATATGGGGTCACTTTTTGAGTCAGAACCGACTCGATATTACACAACAACAACAATGACATTTTAAAAGATGTAAGCTGATACACTTAAAAGTTGAATCAGAATCTTTGGCAGGTGATCATAAAAAACTTTTACAGTCTGCCCCTGGCCTTTTTTTGACTGATGATATGGAGCCTTTCCATCGTCTCTTTCTGCAATTTCTATGTGTTCCATCTGGCGAGGTCCATGTGTATAGCCGTCTGTTATGCTGTCTAAAGAAGGTATTTGAAATGAACAAATCATTGATTTTGCAGAATTCTATCATATGTTTTCCAGCATCATTTCTATCACCAAGGCCATATTTTCCAACTATGGATCCTTCCTCTTTGTTCCCAACCTTTGCATTCCAATCACCAGTAATGATCAATACATCCTGATTGCATGTTTGATCAATTTCAGATTGAAGAAGTTGGTAGAATTCTTCTATTTCATCCTCTCTGGTTTTAGTGGTTGGTGCATAAATTTGAATAATAGTGGTATTATATGGGCTTCCCTGTAGGCGCATGGATATTATCCTATCACAGACAGCATTGTGCATCATGACTGATCTGGATATGTTCTTTTTGACGATGAATGCAACACCATTCCTCTTCAATTTGTCATTCCTGGCATAGTAAACCATGTGGTTGTCAGATTCAAAATTTCAAATACCAGTCCATTTCAGCTCACTAATGCCTAAGATATTGATGTTTATGCATTTCATTTCATTTTTGACAACTTCCAATTTTCCCCGATTCATACTTCGTACATTCCATGTTCCGATTTTCAATGGATGTTTACAGCTGTTTCTCTTAATGTTTCATTGTGCTTCATCAGTAAATGAAGGTCCTGTGGGCTTTTCTGCCACGAGCTTTACTCCATTCACGTTATCACAATCAACTCTACTTTGAGGAGGCAGGTCTTCCCCAATCGCATTTTGAGTGCCTTCCAACCTGAGGGGCTCATTTTCTAGCACTATATTTTCTCTGCTATTCCTAAGGTTTTCAATGACTAAATATTCGGAAATAGTTTGTCACTCTTTCTTCCTAGTCTGTCTTTAAACCTGGAAGCTCATCTTAAACCTGTCCACCATGGGTGACCCTGCTGGTATTTAAAATACCAGTGGCATAGCTTTCAGAATCACAGCAACTCACGAGACACCACATATGACAAACTGACAGACGAGTGGTGGCCGTTTGGTTTTAAGTGGAAACTGTCACTTTACATTTCGAGATCTGTGCACATGCATAGTAGAACCCTCCAGGGGAGGGAGGGTGTCCATTCACTCAGGCATCCCCTCTAGCCACCAGAAAGGAGGTGCACAGACAGCGAGAGACCAATGAACAGATACCAAAAATAGAATGTCCATACCTGTATCTCTGAGGTTCTGTCAGGTGTTCATGGCTGTTCTGATCCTTCCCCCACTTGGTCTCTCCCTAGATGGTGGGTCCGGGAGCAGTTGACCGTCTTGAATTAGAAAGCAATAGCTTTCTTGACTCTGCTACAAATTCCCCTAGCTGTAAGCCTTCCAAGCTTCTAAATATTCCTTTATATGTGGTTCAGAGTTCTAGCACCATCCCCTGAGCCTGCTTGGTCCAGTATTCTGTGTTGTTGCGGACAAAGCTCATTACTGCATGTCTACCCGATCCGCCATCTCTTCCTACCCATCTGACCCATAGTAACCCTGTATAGGGTTTCCAAGGAGCAGCTGGTGAGTTTGAACCACCAACCTTGTGGTTCAAACTGACTTTGCAGTCCAGCATATTAATCCACAGCACCACACCAGAATTCCCCTAAATAAAATGCAAATAAAAACAATGAGATATCGTCTCACCCCAGTTGTGTGGTTGTTACGTGTCATCAAGTAGGTTCCGACTCATAGCAAAACTGTAGAGGGTTTCCAAGGAGTGACTGTTGAATTTCAACTACCGAGATTATGGTTCATCCAGCCATACAGTACTACATCAGAACTTGTCTCACCCCAGTATTAATAGCAAATTAAAAAAAAAAGAAACAATAGAGAAGCTGGAAACCTCATACACTGCTGGTGGGGTTATAAAATTGTAAATACTGTGGAAAATAGTAGGGCACTTCTATAAAAAGTTAGGTGTAAAAATATGATCCAGCAATCTCACTATTAAAACCAAGAAAATAAAAACAAATCAATAAATAATAAAGTAAAATATGAACAGATAAAACGCATTATTAAAACGGTCGTACCTGGAATCACAACAACTGACTCACCTGCGGCTCACAGATTTCTTTTCCACTTCTCCCTCGCCAGCTGGTTTAACACTTGTACCTGGGTCTTTTTTTAACTTTTTTGCAATTCTTTCTCTCATCAGGTTCTTCTCATCATCATCAATATATTCATCACACTCTGCACTTTCATCTTCTTCATCCTGTCAAAATGGAAATTGGGTATTTGCCAGTCATTCAATTTCCCTTTCACTTCCAGAGGTCTATCTCAGATACTCCTCATCATGTTCTAGAGCAGGTGGATTTTTTGTTTTGTTTTTAATTAGTAAGGACTTTTAGAATCTGGTCCAGCTGGGAATGCTCCAGGCCACCTGAGTAAGTATCGTTGCTGTTAAGTGCCGTCAACTCAGTTCTGACCCATAGTGACCCTGTATAGTGTTTCTAAGGAGAGGCTGGTGAGCCTGAACCACCAACCTTGAGGACCAAACAGTCCAGCAAATTGACCTACAACACCACATGAGGCACTCAGGAAGCATAGTGATTACAAATCGGGCTGATAACCTCAAGGTCGACAGTTTGAAACTACCAGCTGTTCTGCAGGAGAAAAATGAGGCTTTCTGCTCCCGTAAAGATGTGCATCGTCGGGAAACCTGTGCAGGGTCACTATGAGTCAGAACTGACTCCACAGTACTTTACAACAACAACAACCACACCAGGACTCTTGTGTAAGTATAGGATATCCCAAAAAGGGTCAATTACTCAATGCATGCCCAACCCCTCTGTGCAGCACAGACTATGTTCCCTCCATATCCTCTAAGATATCACATCTCTGTACATTTTTATTCTTCTCCTGGCTCCTGGAAGCAGTTAGCTGGAATGCTTACCTCAACCAGTAATTAGTTCAAGTAGAAGAGGTAGAGCTGGAGAAGGTGAAATTTGTATAATCTTAGTCATAGCAATCAATTCTCTCTCAATACCCTTCAATGGTTCCCCAACTTACACAAGGGCCTACATAATTTGTTCTTTCTCTGACATAATCTCCAACAACTCCCATCCAGCCATATTGGCCAATTTCTTGTTCTCAAAAAAGCCAGGAATGCCTCTGCCTTGCCATCTTTATAGTTGCTACTCCCTCCAGTCTGAAACATACTTATTCCAGATACCTGCATTGCTTATTTCATCTCTGTCCGTTATTTACTTAAATGTTACCATCTCAAATCCAAACCACTGCCATCAAGTCACTTCCAACTCAAAGCAACCCTGTATGATAAAGCAGAAGTGATCCTTAGGGTTTCTAAGACAATAAATGTTTATGGGAGCAGACAGGCTCATCTTTCTCCCACTGAATGGCCCATGAGTTTGAATCCCTAACTTTACAGCTAGCACTCCAACACTTTTCTCCAAGGACTGGTCCCTCCTGAAAATATGTCCCAAGTATGAGTGAGAATCTGTGTTAAAAGAAGCAAAGGCAGAACGTTCCTTGGAAGCCAGGATGGCCAGATGTAGTCTCTCATACTTCAGACATGTATTAGAAGAGTCCTGGGAGAAAGATGTCATATTTGGTAAAGTGGAGGATCACAGAAAAAGAAGACCCCCCAACGAGATGAATTGGTTCAGTGTCAGCAGCAAATGGGCTCAAATATAACAATGATTTTGAGGTTGGCGCACGACCAGGCAGTGTTTCATTCTGTTGTGCAGAGTGGCTATGAGTCAGTAACAACTTGATGGCACCTCTAACAACATGAGAGACAAAGTCTGGCCATCTAGCTTCTAAGAAGCATTCCAACATATATTTGTTTGTTCTTTTGGCAGTTTATGGTACTTTTAATATTGTCCTCCAACACCATAACTCAACTGCATCAATTCATTTACAGTCTTCCTTATTCATTATCCAACTTTCACATGTATATGAGGATACTGAAATTATCATGGCTTGGGTTAGTCCTCAAACTGACATCTTTGCTCTTCAACACTATAAAGAGGTCTTGTGCTTCAGATTTGTCTAATACAATATGTCATTTGATATCTTGACTGCTGCTTCCATGAGTGCTTATGGTTGATCTGAGCAAAATGAAGTCATTGACAACTTCAATCTTTTCTCTGTATACATGGAAGTTATTTACTGGTTTAGTGGTGAGGACTTTTCTATCTTTTAATCACCCTCCCTCCAATCCTGTTTAGTCCCTTTGCCTTGTTTATTTTCCAAAGCATTACCACCTAACATATATTTTATTTATGTATATATTGTCTTCAACCAGTAAAGTAAGCACACCATGAAGGCTAAGCTTCTAGCATGTTTTGTTTACTGTTGTATCTTCAACTTTCAGCATTGTTTCCAGCAAAAATAAATGAAGGAGAGGAAATAGAAAAGGGAGTAACAAAGATGGAAGGAACTAGCCCAAGTGTGTCATTCTTCTCTTGTGATTCTTTGATCAAGTGAGTTACGGTGAGGCAAGATTCTTAACTTGAGGTTAGTGAACCCCTAGAGCAGAGGTTCTTAAAGCACATGGATTTGGTAAAAGTGGAAAATCCTAGCCCTTGTCCCAGACTTATCAAAACAAAATCTCAAGACAGAGACTGAAATGATTTTCAACAACCTGTTCAATTCATTCTTAAGCACTAAAATTTAATAACCATGGACCTAGCTAGGCCTTCTTTCCATACTTGGACCTCATGAGATCTATAAATTATCCCTTGAAAATTTATAAAATTCTATGTGTGGATGTGGTATATTTCTTCTGGGCAGAAGGTCTACAGTTTTAGTAATTTCAAGGGATCTCAGTCACAAAAGAGATTAATGAGCATACACTATCCCTGTTGTTGTCATCGAGTCAGTTCTGTCTGATAGCAACACTGTACAGTGTTTCCCAGGAGCGGTTGGTGTGCTTGAACCGCTGACCCTGTGGTTCAAATCTACCTTGCAGTATAGGGCATTAACCCACCCACAGTGCCACACCAGGACTCCCACCCATGGTCTTTAGAACAAATCTTTTGATATCAGACTTTATTCATATCATCTAGACACATATTGCTACACAGATTTCTCCCAGTTATCTTAATTTTAAAACGTACAAAAGTAGCTTGTCTTTATTTATTTATTTTACTGTTTTCTCACTTTACCCTTACTCTGTATTTTGTATACATCTAACAAATTGCCCGAAGCAAAAGCTTTAAGGTTGTTCTAGACTCCATTTTCTCCTTCACCTAATAGTAAGGCATCAGTCATCTCCTAGACCTCTTTCAAGTCTATCACCTTCCCATCTACAGCTGTGGTCTTACATCAAGCTCTCCTCCTATCACACCTTCCTAACAAGTCTCATTGCCTCCAGTTTTCTTCTTCTATTTTTTCCTCTCTAATATTGCCCTGGTTATCTTTCTAAAATGCAAAGTTGATCCTAATACCTTTCTATTAACTATTCATCATCTGTTCTTCATTTTTAGGATGAAATTCAAACTCAACATAGCCTATGAAGCACTGTAAGAGTTGGCCCCTTCCCACCTCTCCAACATTATCCCATTCTTCATCCTGTCACTACCCTCCAGTTATGCTGGCCTGCTTTCAGTTGCTGGAATACAACTCTCTCTTGCTTCTAAGCTTTTTGCACATGTATTTTCCTCTACATTTAGCAGTCTTCCTCCCTCTCGTAAAAAACTCAGGCTGCTTTTAAAATCTGAAATCTCAGCTTATATTTCCTAAACACAGTACTGACTTTAGCATACGCTGCACTAGAGCGATCCTACTCTTCACCACTTTCTTTTTGGACCACGTTAACTCTTAACTTTCCTATAAGGAACAATAAAACATCATCTCTTCAAGGAAGGTTTTCTTGGCCAGGTTACAAATTCATCGTCCTTCCACTATACACAGTATATTCAGAAAGAACGCTCCCTTTTAAGTTTGATAATAGGTAAATCTGTATTTGTGCATGGAAAGTTATAAATTTAAAATGCACAGATCATTAAGTTTTTATACCAAGTGACATTTGAGTAGCTATAGTCCTGAATGAGAATCTTCTAACATGTATGTTTCTATAATACAAAAAGTCATTCTCCACATTATTAGGTGTGACACCTATCCATCAACATTTAAATTTGCACTATAAGAAAAGAAAATGAATGACATTTTAATTTTGAGCACTCAAGTATTATTATGTGAGGGGAAAAGAAGCAGGCTAGAAATTCATATATATGACTCCATTTTTTATAGAAATACCCACATACACACACATATACAAATACTCACACACATTTGGAAGGAAATATATTCTAACATAAAAAAAGTCTTTAAAAGCATTTTACACATATATAATAAAAGTAATATAAATTAACCTTTGAAGGAAAGATAATTTAATTTTTGTAAAATTTTGTACTTAAAATTGTTCAAATGTATGTTTATATAAAATCAATACTCACATCATCCAAATCCCCTGCTGCATCTTTCTCACTACAAATAAAAAGCAAAAATAAATGTATTTCAGCTTCAAAATAACACTAATAATTCAATAATTCTAAATTCTAAAATAGTTTGTGAGGAAGAATGTTCCCAAACTGTATTTCATTATTGTAAACTTAGAATAGCACAACATTGTTTTTGTTGTTATGTGCCGTGGAGTTGGTTCCAACTCATAGCGACCCTGTACAGGGTTTTTGAGGCTGTAAACCTTTACGGGGGCAGAAAGCCTCAACTTTCTCCCACGGAACAGCTGGTAGTTTCAAACTGCTGATCGTTAGTTAGATTAGCAGCCCAATTTGTAACCACTACACTACCAGAGCTCCTTAGAATAGCTCTATAGACAGATGCAAACATTTAAATTAAATAATATACTTATAAATACCCAACACTTACAATCACCATTTATAAATAAAATCAGACATATGCTCCATTAGCAGATGCATGGATTCACTAGAATAAAAACTAAAAATAAAATAACAACAACCAAAACTGCCTTTATTATGAATAAAGGTCTACAGAAATTATTTTTGCTATTGGTTCGAAGCAATTTGAGAGCAGAAACCAAATCCTTCAAATAAAAGAATCTTGCTGTTTTAGCTGTTAAGTGTTGTCAAGTTGGTTCAGACTCATAAAAACCCTGTGTAGGGTTTCCAAGGCTGTAAATCTCTGAAGGAACAGAAAGCCTCATCTGTTTCCTAAAGAGTGGATGGTGGGCTTATATTGTCAACCTTGTGGTTCAGTCTAGTACTTATCTGGGAGCCACTGCACTCCCAAAAGAATATTAAGAAAACATTACTGAAATAAGATCTTTGAAAATGAACTAAACTCAGTTCAATAGTATTTTAAACCCTCATGTCCCCGGTGGTATGGAGGGTTAGGTGTTGGGCTGCCAACTGCAAGGTCATAGTTCAAACCAACTTTTTTTCATAATCATTGAGTCACAATCAGCTGATGACAGTGGTTAGGTTTTTGTTTGGGTTGAGACACTAATCCAATATATTATTTAACACTAAGATATCTCCCTTTCTCAAAATGAAGCAATTGTTGTTAGGTTCTGTCAAGTCACTTCCAACCCATAGTGACCCCATGCACAATAGAAAGAAACACAGCCCAGTTCTGCATCAACTTCACAACCGTTACACTTGAGCCACTGTGCCAATCAATCTCATTAGGGGTATCCCTCTTTTTCACTGGCCCTCTGCTTTAACTAGCATGATGTGTTTCTCCAGGGACTGGTCCCTCCTGATAATGTATCTGAAGTAAGAGAGACAAAGTCTCGCCATCATGGCTTCTAAGGAGTATTCTGACTGTACTTCTTCCAACACAGATTTGTTTGTTCTTCTGTCAGTCCATAGTATATTTAACATTCTTCTCCAAAACCATAACTCAAATGCACCAATTCTTTTATGGTCTTCCCTATTCACTGTCCAATTTTTACATGCATATGAGGCAACTGAAAATACCATGGCTTGGGTAAGGTGAATCTTAGTCCTCAAACTGACACCTTTGCTCTTCAACACTTCAAAGAGGTCTTATGCAGAAGATTTGCCTAATGCAGTGTCCTTTGATTTCTTGACTGCTGCTTCCTTGAATGTTGATAGTGGATCAAAGCAAAATGAAGTCTTAGCAATTTCAATCTTTTTTTCATTTATCTTGATGTTATTTACTGTTCCAGTGGTGAAGATTTTTGTTTTCTTTACATTGAGGTGTAACCCATACCAAAGATATAGTCTTTGATCTTCATCAGTAAGTATTTAAAGTCCTCTTCACTTTCAGCAAGCAAGGTTGTATCACCTACATGTTGTAGGTTGTTACTGAGTCTTCTTCAATCCTGAAGCCACATTTTTCATATAATCCATGTTCTCAGATTATTTGATCAGCATACGGATTCAATAAATATTAGGAAAAAAAACAACACTGCCACACACCCCCTTGGGCTCTGTCCTGGACGGGCAAATGTTATAAGCTCTTTTAACTAGTCTGTGAAGGCCCAAAGAGCACATTCTCCATGTCTGTCTCCTGCCTATGGGCACTCAGATCTACTCAGTCTAAGGGCCTAGATCTTGAAGCTGCACTGTCTCTCCATGCCTCTGAATCTGCCCCCAGTTCTGCCGCTTTTCTAGGTAGGAATCTCACACTCCACTCATGATCTTCCTTCCTGATGGTCCTGGCATCATCTGTTTCTACTTCTGAGATGTTGTTGTTGCTGTTAGGTGCCATCGAGTAGGTACTGACCCATAGCGACGTTATGCACAGCAGAACGAAACACTGTCCGATCCTGGGCCAACCTCACTACTGTTGCCACGCTTGAGTCCATCAATGCTGCCACTTGGCCAATCCATCTCATTTGGGGTCTTCCTCTTTTTCTATGACCCTCCACCTTACCAAACATGATATCCTTCTCCAGCGACTATTCCTCCTGACAATATGTCCAAAGTATGAGAGACGAAGTTTGGCCATCTTGGCCCCTTTTTAAACCTAGGTAGATGTCAAAACTAACCAATTCCAGTCTTAGAGTCCTGTACACCTTATTTGCATGAATCTGCCTAATCACTTGGTGGGAATTAAGAAGATACTGAATAGAAAAGTTATATCAAGTAAATTCAAGGTACCACTGGGCAAATTATGAATCTCTTCCATTCGGATGGTCAGATAGATATATTCCAAAGCTTTTGGCAATAATAAGTGAGTGCCTCCAATGACTCATTAGTTTGTTGAAAGATTTAAATTTGTATTTCATTAGTTCCTAAGCCATTTTTCAGGAATGACTTCAGTGAAGTTTGGATTTCTACAATCAGTACCATTCATTCTTGATGATATGCTACCTCTTGAAATGGTTTAATATCGATCATTTCTTTTGGGTATAGTACCTGTGTATACCTTCCAGATTTTGATGATTGTTGTATCATTTACTATTTTTCCCATAGATTTCTTAAAATATTAAATGTCGAGGCTTGAATTTTTTTATCAGTTCAGTTTGAAAAATATTAAGCACGTTCTTCCCTTTTGGTTTTCTAACTCCGGGTCTTTGCACATTTCATTATATTGTTTTACTCAGTCTTAAATTTCAATAATAGTGACATTAACTGGTTTTCCTAATAGGTATGTGGATACTTCAAGACAGATCTCAAAATGATCTTTTTGATGATGAATGTGATA